AAGAAGCTGCGAAGACATACATCGTGGACCTTGGTTAAGTATGCTCCGTAGTAGTAGTGACTTACTAGAGGAACAATTTGTACATGTGGCATCACGTGGTTTTTCTACATGTGTATACAGGGGTGCAGGAGCCTGCACAGCCGCAGCATTCCTCAAGGTTAGTGAGTCATTTCATCAACTTCCTGCATTGTTTTTACTCCTCCAGTGTGAGGAAAGGACTGGTATTTTCAATTTTCAGTAACTGGGAGTTAGAAGAAATTAACCCTCATGACTCCCTGAATTTGCTCACTGGATTCATTTTGCTTCAAAATTTTGTGAAACTGTAACATCTTTCCAAAAGTGATTGCACCTCATTCTCCAGTTACAGCCAACGCATTAAGTTAGCCTTTCCTTCTCCCCACTTAGAGTACGAAACATTTAGACCATCCCTATGCACTTACATACCACAGAGTATGTAGCACTGCTCTGATCAATGTACTCAGGATAGTTAGTTGAAATGTTGGTTTACATACTAATGCTGTATATAGGAGTTTGTTGAGGTGAAGCGATGGGCTCATCTGGATATAGCTGGAGTGATGGAAAGCCATGGAGAGTGGCCTTTTCTTGACAAGGGAATGTCAGGTACATATAATACTCACTAAAATCCCGTATATATATACATTGCTGTGTAACTGGAGAATTAGGTGGTCATTGGGGATTTAGTCCCTACTTTAAGATTTTACTAAAGTATGTATACGGCTTTTTAAGAATGTGTCAGTACATAGGGCTAAATTTATGCTAAAGAATGTACCAATCTCTTGTTCTGCAGTAGTGCAGTGGTTACTATAATTATGAATTTTCTCCTGTTTTCAGGGAGACCCACCAGAACTATAGTGCAATTTCTACAGAACTCGGCATAGTTTCTTCAGGTGTCTTATATTTGATGTACAAATTGTGTGACAGAAAGTTTGAAACCCAAACCAGTGCCTATTATAGTCCGCGCATGCATGGCCTACCACTGAACAATTTTCGTTCATGTGGCACCCAATATCACGTACTCTTTTAATCGGATAATTGCACACAACAACCCAAATTATTGCTGTTGTTAGGACTTCTATTAATGTGGTATACATTATTGCAATACTGAGTCTGCCATGGATGGATATTGGATCTAATGTGTTAACATTATTGCACATATATACATTATTAGCACTTCTATACTGGTTAATGTCCTTCATTAGGACTTGAACTTGTATTAATGTGGTATAAAGTGAGTCAGAGAGTTGAGTCAGTTTTGGCTAGGGCTGGTTGTGAGAGGTCTTCAGGTTCCCTTCTTCTCCACACTCTCTGTATGTCAGACGACATCTCAGCAAACAGCCTCTCCCACTCCCAACCTACGTCCTCCTGTCGTCACATAACACATTAGCCGTCACCACTTGCATTACACCACTTATAATTATACCACACTCTTACGTAAACACTAGACAAGTTCTATACACCCATGACAGCACTGTTTCAAAGAGAAAAGAGCCTGCCTTGTAAGTGGGACTCAAACACACATGGCACTCTATTCTCTAGACAAGTGCTCAGCAATCGGGTTTTCAATTAAGGCAGAAGTGAAAAACATCGTAGCAGAATAAGATAATAATTATGTATGATGCCCAGACATTATACTGGCTCACACGTGTGCATTTCTTGATGCTTTGTGTAGTACGAGAGCGACTAGTGCATCTTTCTTTTTACCTCTGTAACGTCTTTCTCTGGCGATAGTACTTTAGACAGCAATTTCAAGTCAACACCTCCCTAATGTGATGGGGAGAAAGACTGTCAGTATTATACCTTAAATGTAAACTATAATACAAGGAAGGATGTACTATATACACACACCAGAGTGAAGTTTTGTTTCTGGATGTCGGCCTCTAGTTCCCGGTACGAGGCCAGTCTGTTCACAGTCAGTCTGGGGGAATAGGAATGGAGGAATGTAAATTATCCCAGCCACAAACAGGTGCATGCCATGCAATTGGTTTGTTTTCCAAAATCCCATTCATACCAAGGTGTGGTATGTTTAGCTTAAAACACTTTCACTTTTTTTCAACTCATGGAGAGAATCTTTTACTGGCTATATATCTCTATTAACGGTATATAGCATTATCTTTGATGCAGCTGGTAGTGTGGAAAACTGAGATGTATATAGACCAAAGATACAACCTTCTCCACTACGCAGTCATGATTGTTGCTATTGACACACGTAACCAAACACAAAACATAGCGCCGAAGGCCTGGGAACGAGGCTAGCTGAGCTCACGATGGAGGTGCGGCAATCTGGGTGGTGAGATCTTCTTTTTGCACTGCCTCGAGATCAGGAATAACTGGCAGGTCTGATCTGGAGAACACAAAAGATTGTCGTGTAGTAAAGAGTTTATAAAGCAGGAATATCGCATAATGCAGCAGCTTTTTACAAAGTCCCGTATTCCAATTTCCAAAATTGGTTTGAAGCTTATTTTGAGAAAACATTTGCATGGACCCATCTTATGCTATTGTGTTGGCAACTTTAGCTGTGCATAATTATGCCATATATAGCTATGTAACATCATAAATCTATGATCCCTACCATCATCGTCGTCAAAGCTTTCAGGAACTCGCAACCTCTCACTGTATGTATATAGACACAAGAAATGTTCGCATCACACACGATTCATTCTCAATACTCACTCTTCTTCGACTGTGTCTCTCCTCCTCTTTCCTTTCTCCTCCCCCCACCCGCCTACCCTTCTTGGCTTTGGTGGACCGCCCTCCACACCCCTTTCCTCCTATTGCCGAATGATGCAGAGTGGTTTTGACCTCTGTACCGATACTACATATCTTGACCTATATCGACGACACAGACAAGCTCTATAGGTACTCACCAAAGTGGTCTCTTCCAGCTCAGCCGACATCGTGATCGCCAGGGGAGTCAGTTCCAAATAACGCACACCAAGGTTGTTGTTGCCCGTCGTCGGTTGCCAGGTGACGGTTGTAAAACGGGTGTAAACTGCTTGTTTTGTGGTTTGTGGGGCGGTGCGCGCGCATATCCCCAGGAAAGTGGGCGTGGCTCATATTACAATCTTTTTAGCTCTTATAGCGAGCGGCAGCCAAGTTTGCTGGAATCGGCAGCCAGTAGTGCGTCCTACGCGACCGAGAGACATGGCCCAGTCGTCACCGCACGTTCAGTTCCCCGAGGAAGTGAAGGCCGAGGAGCGACCGAAGTTCAAGCAGCAGCCGACCCAGAAATACGACAGGAAGGAGATCCAGAAACGACTGGACATAGAGACTTGGATGGAGGAGCAGCTTGCCGATCTATTCCAGGTTAGGCTAGCATCAGAGTATCGTACGATGGATAATGCATAAGTGTTGTGTAGGATCTACCTATGTTAGCTAACTAGCTAGCTATGTAGTGCTAAGAGTTGCTTATAGCAATAGCTGAACTAGCTATATAGTGGTATATTATGGGGGTGTCTATGGCTAGAGGCATTTTAGTAACATCTGAAACCCATAAAAAGTTCTCTGAGAATGTTGACAGACGACATAAGACTGTGGTGATGAAATGTTTCATGAACATAGCAAACGGATTCCCCAAAATGGTCTATAAAACTGTCTTGTGACTGTAGTGCATGAAACACTGTATAAGCTTATTGTGGCACAGTGCATTTATGATGGAATCCTCATTGCAATTCTTCCCTTTTCAATAGGAGGACAATTATCCTCAGTTGGATATTGACGATGTTTTGAAGATCAATGAATCAGACAGAAAAGAGAAGTTGACGGTATGTTACTGTAGCTGTATATACCACAGTAAAAAGACAAACATATGCTGCATAGTCTGTCCTATTTGCAAGCATTATTTCAACAGTGTATATTGCAGTGTATGTTTTTTTGTGGGAGGCGGTGTATAGTTAGGCACTACTTGCAAGTGATGCCAAGTGCTCCATCCCCCCTAGCTAGTCACAATAACATTATGTCCCTGTATAATACATACATATAGACTCTCTGAATTTCTAAACTTCTGTCACTAGAATGATTTTGTTCCACAGGAGTACCTGCAAGATTCGAAGAAACCTGCTGAAGTAAGGACCGATGGGCCGTAGCTTTTATAGCGGGTTTGCAAACCCTCGGCGAACTGCGCATGCGCGATACTGCTAATTGATGGGCTGGGCCGGCTATTTCGTGGTCTTCCGCTAGTAGTAGCCCGCGGAGAGTCAGACACGGGCTAGCTACAGCAGTAGATAGCATGACATGCCATTGGTTGTGACTTCCTGAGCCCCCAAGGTACACAGAGCGAGCGGATCAGGTCGCGGTAAGCCCAGTGCGATTATGCATATTGGCTTTTTCGCTTGTTTTCACGGCATATCTCTCGAACGAAGTCGTTTCAGGAAAATCGGCTAATATTTTTTCAGGCTCCCGTAGTTCTGAATCCGCTGGTATCGCTAACGGGCCGCCTCGTAGCCTGTAGTGCCAGAATAAGCGTCGACACACACACAGACAGAGACAGACAGACAGACAAACCAACTACCGTAACCCTCGCTGCGCATGCGCGCCGAGGGCTATTCAGTGAAGGCTAAGCGAAGTTGCAGTGAGGCTATGGCTAATGTTGACTGTTGTTTTTCATTGCAGAGTTTTATAACTGAGCTGCTGGAGAGGGCAAAGGGAGTGAAACCAGTAGACTCGTGACTCTCCTGCTTATTGTGTTTTCTCTGTGGTGTGGTTTCATTATAATAACAAACTAGAGTTTTTGCAGCGCGCCCCCAGTTTAATCGCATTACTGTGCGTGCGCACAATAATGGGTAGTATAATGGAAAAAGTGATACACAGGGATTAATTTACTAATTTAGTTAATTGTTGAAGAATTTATGTAGAGCTTCTCAGCTTTCTCACTGTCATCATCATTGGTAATAGGTAGCCTCCTGGGCTTGCCCTGTCTACTTCGACGACCCAGCAGCAGAGCAAGAATAAGAGCCACAGCTAGACCAGCAACTATTAACACAGCTCCCGCACTAATGCCTGCAACAGCACCAACACTGAGCCCACCACTTTCTCCTTCGCCAGATCGTATGTTTGGGAGTTGGTTTACAAATGGCGTACCACGAGGATTAATAGGAGTGATTCGAGGTGTGGTTGCAGGTGGAGGTGCTGGCTCCACTGTGAGTGTAGCTGATTTCTTCCACTGAGTCACTCCATTCACAGCGAGGGCACATGACACTCTATACCCATCAAATTCCTCTTTCACTTTACTCCAATGGGCCGTTAGAGTGTGAGTAAATGGTGTAGTCTCTCCAAATGAGGAACTTGAAAACTGTATGTTGAAACAGCGCTCCATTTTAGTGCAGGAGGACAGCTCCGTTGCTGAGACACGGCAGTTGAAGCACTCGGTAAAGTCAGGTGACTGAGGAAGCTGGACGAGTAAGGAAATTGTGGCAGATTCATTGTCACTGGCCTCATATCCTGTACCAGCCTCACAAGCAAACTCTGCAAAATCCCCTTCCACTACAGTAATGTCTCTTGGGAGAGTTTCATTCGGGAACAGCTTCGAACCTATGCACGGATATAGAAAATTAAACAATTTGATTGTGTAACTATGGTACGTATAAAGGAAACCATGAGTTATTTTTCTGTTAGTGAGTGAGTACTTGTGCTGTTGTAAGCAAACTAGTGCTGAATGAGAAAGGAAAGTGGTGTTTTTTTGTCACACATCACTGATTAAGAATGCGGGCATATCATAACAGGAATGCACTGATACCAATGTGTAATAGGCGGAACAAGTTAATTTTTGAGTGTGGGGGGCAGTATTCTGACAGTTTCTGGGATCAGGCAAGCTTTGCATAGCTACCACACAAGTCTGTAAAGTCTACAGGTGCTTGTGGCTTGCTTTGAAATGACCATTTACTCACAAGTTTTCTACATACACACTCATATTATTATTGTGTGTTATAGCTATATACGTATGTACCTCCAAAGAAATGGTGTGGTACACACATGGTTGAAGATTGATTGCCATTGTGTACTGCTGTGATAGCTAGATAAGCTTCCACTGGATTGACTCCTCCGATGTGCACAATATTCATTGAATTCAGGGTAACATTCTGTGGAGATTATATGCATGTATATATACAGTCGACATGATAGCTGGAGTAGCAAGGCTAAGGAGGAAATAGAAAGAACCAACTTCTGTCAGAATTCAAAACAAGGCATTGTGACTTGGAAGTCCAGTGAACTACGCTCTGAGCTAAAAAACTTCGGTCATCCCCCTTCTCAACTAATGTAGGAACTTTGCCATACTATTATGGGGCCACATAATGCTATAACTATGCACTGTATATAAATAGATGTAGTGTGTGACTTACATGCAGTGTTCCTGAACCACTGGCTTCAGTGTCATATGAGAGATGCAGGTCGACAGGATAGTGGTTCACCCACAGAACTTCCACCTCAATCGCAACCGGACGTGTTCCAAGAATATTGAAGTATAGGGTGTGGGGTCCACCTGCAAAATACCACTTCGAACCTCTCCGAGGTACATTGCAGTTGTAGTCTTCACCGTAGTCTGGGACACGTCTACATGACTGCTCGTAGGAAGATGATCCACCAGGGATCACGTACACGCCCTCTGTGTAATAGGTGCATATAATAAAAGTTCGGATATTATGCTACCGTTACATCTACTTACCGTCAAAAACGACGGAGCGGTTTGCGAATAGGCTCCCGTTGCTGTGCTTGCACTCATACAGGCCCTCGGCGGTTGAAGCGTCGGCAAACGTCCACGTTACGTTTGGAAGACCCTGCGTCGAGCCTTCGTGATAGAGACGGAGCGGTGTCCCGTCCTCGCTGTCCTCGCAGCTTACGATGAGAGCTATTCCAGCCCAGGCGCCACACGCAGCTCTGTCGCTGCATACGTTGATCTGCCGCTCGCCAGCACTGTCCTTGTGGCACCTGCCGCCTCGCGGAGCGATTACGCACTCCAACTGGACATGATCCGGAGAGGTGTCCGTGCAGTCTCTCGCTGCGAGAATGATCGTAGTGAAGAGCCCAAAGAATAGTAAACCTTTCAGCAGTGTCATCCTAGTAAATGTGTGCACGCCAGACGCGAGCGCGCGCCAATTTATTACCGCGACGCGTCGCTTATGCGCATGCGCAATCACGTGAAGCTACGACCGATCAGACGTACCGCCGATCGATATACGGGTGTTTCGAATTGGCCACTGAGACGTTAAATTTTTCGTTTGCGCGCACATATACG